CACATACCGTATTCTTGTTTGGGTGTGGTCACACCATGCCTATCTCGTGTGACACACACCTTTTACGGGGTACGTATAACCCCGGTACAGGTTACGCTTGTAAGAGCGAGTAGTGAAGTGATAAAAATTACCGGCGCAGTAGCTATCGTAGAGGGCTCACCTTTGCGCGATTTTTGTGCAAAATGATGTTGACCCGGTTAATTCATATTTTCCGAGGGGTACACCGGGCTACATATCGTATTCTGGGATCTATCACTCTAAACAATTGTCACCAACATCCTTCGGACTTGGAGTCAAGTTCACTATAGCACCAATTTGAAGTATCATGATGCATTATCCTCGTACGGACAACGGTGATGGGATAGATACTATAGAGGAGAGGTCCGTTGGAAGTTATAATCTTATGTTATGCATTGCAAAGGATGTTTATAAATGTCTACAATTAAACAGATAGTTAAATATCAAACGAACTGAGTCAAATTCAGAAATCAAGTCACTATAAACACAGATCATACCTGGGAGACTCTCAATTTTGGTCTCGCTCCTGTCTCGATCGTGTGAACCCATCTCTGTGCGGCTCTTACCGCAGAATCGTAGACTCATCTGTCAGATGCGTGCCGAGCACGTTGTACAGTGTAGCCCTTGAGGTTGATCTGAGTATCGACTGCATCATCTTTGCGGATGTAACCCGAGGTGCTCGACTCTACGTCATTGTAACTACTGGACACGCATTATAGGATTATACCTATAGTTAAGACCGGGAAAATAGGATAGTTGGTGGCTCAAGGGCGCAAAGTGTTATTCTCTCCATAGAATTTAACCAGCTCTGAAAATGTGCTGGTGATACAACTACACGAGCTTTAAAGCCAGGCGTCAGCGGTAGAAAATTTTGCTCCTGCCGCGAGGCCTTTTACTCAAAGCGTTACACCCTTTGCATATCGCGACATGGATTCTCTCTCCACCTGGAGCACGGTCGCTGCCTTGTACACAGGCTCAAGAAGTGTCGTACGATGTTAATATAGCAAAATTAAAAGCTAATCTCGAGACGAAACAACGGTTCGTTCGTCAATCTCTCCCCATGCTAGAAGACACCACATGAAATTTGGAAATCACGCACAGTATTATCTGCTTAAAAAGGCAGCGCAAACATTGGAATTTTTGAGTTGCGAGTGCTTGCAGGCAGACTATGCGCGCCCAAAATTTTCTGCGCAATCGTCAGTGAGGAGGATAAATGGCTCTATGCCCAAGAGATGAGAGCTCGTACAGTAGCAGAGGTGGTAGAACCTTCCCTGATGGCGGTAACAGACTTGAAAGATCTCATAGCAAACGCGATTATTACCGAGACCCTTCGCGTTCATTCGAGGAAGCGGAAAGTTCTGTTTTTAATGTATAGTACAATTAGCCTTACGGGGCGGTGACAGTGTGGAAGGTAGCGGCTTTATGAGCGTGCCAGATGCAATGAATCTTTACCAGGATGATAGAAAAGATAAGCAAATGAGCCAAATCTCGGAATTCGTAAATGCTAGAATTGCTGCTGTAACAACTATTCACGCCTTGCGTTTTCCTTCCTTCTCGGCAGAGAGGTACGAAGTGTCGGGTCATTTATCGCAGGAAATTGTCGAGTCTTACTGGGCAAAGGACGATCTACTGTAGAATCCAGTTCTTAGTTGATCGTGAAGATCGAGGCCAATGAAAATCAGCCTTGAAGAGAGTGAGTCCCTCTAGAGTCTAAAGTATTCTGGTGTAATATAAACATTTCGGGTCTGATAACAGACGCTTAATTCTAACTGCGCTGTTATAAATGACGGACGGTATGCGGAGGCATCGAAGATGCTAAATACGGATAGAGCGTCCGTGCGTTCTGCGACAGGGATATTTTAAAGGTATCAAAAAGTTTTCGTACCCTCCTTTGGACCGTGACAGGGTACACAAACGTAATAGTAGAGCCATGGAATCACCACTTCAAAGAAGTGGAAGCACTCCAATGCGTGCATAAATCTTTAAGCGCTTCGGGGTGGGATCTGGCTTAGTCCAAATTATTTAGCAACGATTTTGCTTAGTGTCAAAAGCAAAGTCCAGATGACGGATACTGACGTGTTAAGCGGTCTAAAAATGGCACATAAAGGAGCAATCGTGCATCGCAATCTCTGGAGACTAGATCTGCTGAGTCAGACCTAAGCGACAAAATTTCGCGATCCTAGCTCTTGCGCCAGCACAAAAGAATGAGAGATACTTTGTGTCAAAATCTCCTGCACCAAAAACGTGCAGCTGAGGATCTGACTCTGATGTTTTAGCGAATGATCTGTTAGACTCGCGATGTGACGGTATATGCGAATCATCACTTCCGTGTAGTTTGCCCAATATACGTGGAAGTGAAGCTCTACGGGTAAGTGGAAAGAAAGACTTATCACATAAAAATTCAGCGACCGGTGTAATCTTGTGAAAAGCAAACCTCTCTGACCACCTTCGGTTTTAACTATTTGAGCTGGATGTATTATCACTCTGGATATGTGGACGCAATTGCACGTAAAAGCTATACCGAAGGAGGACTTTAGCTTCTCACCTGTCATGGATAGATATATCATTGAAGACACTCGCAGAGCATAAATGTGAGGATTTTACGAGCTATATAATCTTTCGTATCTTTTATGAAACGATTGCCACGATGGGATGACTAGAGCTAATTTCACGAGTTGCTCTAGTAACCTAAAGCTCGGCATAAAAATTGACTTGGTGTCTGAAACGAATATCCCGTCACACCTCAGTGGTCTATATCAAGGGAGCGCCGAAGTAGTGGTAGAAGAGAAACTAAAATTCTCTATAATTTTAACATTGGCAAGTGGCGCATTGTGTATATACTTGATAAGCGCAAAAGTAGCCATGTAACTGGGATGTTCAATCGAGAGTGTACTACAAAACGACATGGTCGGCTGGACCTTGATCGGTGCTTTTGATCTAGTTGATAGATTTGATGTGCTCAGGAAACCTTTCCTCTCGCTGCGAATATGACCTCAATTGTCGACTTTACACCTGATGTATGGTAGTTTTGAGCTCGAGCTTTATTGATTCCCAAAGCTTTAAGCAACGCAACCAATGTTGCATCCGACTCGCAAAATGTACGCCTCGCTCCATTACTTCACAAAGAATGATTTGAGGTCCAATTTAGCGTAGAACCTCACCTTATAAGCTGATGATGCTACATGGTCCATGGGGCATGTTGATCCGGTGATAGGACGCTACAAATTGGGATCTTTCTCTAAGAAAGGAACCACGAATATATCGCTGTCCTGGCTAATACTTGTAGACAAAGTGGTCTGGATCTAGAGCATTCTACCCTTGAAGTTGATGGGGCATGTGGATGTAGCTCGTTACCGCCTGACAGGCCCTATGTAGATAAAAACAAATGGCTAAATGCTATCCATTTACTAGTGGCTCGACGTGAATGACGTGTAAAAGTGACTTAGTTTCTACGTGAACGCGTACGGTGATATTGACGGCTTGAACTCTCGCCGTCTACGTCGGTAGTCTGCCGGCTTCAATGATGGTAATTGTATTTCTGGTCCGTGGAAGATGCGTCAGATATAGCCTGCAGCATGGAGTCCGTGAGCTGTCTGCTGTACATCCTTTCCTCATGTCCATTTATAAGTAAATGTCTCTGCTGAAGTCAAAACAACAGTCAACCAACACCTGTTGCTGGGCTACCTTCAAGCCTCTCAGTTTGGAGCCACTGGGCTTACTTCGAGCAACTACATACATCAAAAAGCTCAGATAGCACATCCGTAAATGTCAGTATCTGCCACACACTGAGATTCCTGGAGAGAGTCAACGCTAGTGCCGAATAATCGCACGACAGTCTGCTAAAGAGGTAATTTTGTGCCACCTTTTTAAAAAGTAAGGGTCGTCCAATTTCATTCAAAGCGGATAGTAGGACCAGTATGTGGATTGACGGAAAGGATAACTTAACGCGGAAAGTTAATGTCCCTCTCCGGTAATTTTTCCCGAGCGCTGTTGCCACTAACGACTCAGCGCATTCTCTGACTTTAATTTCTTAGAAAAAAAGACATAGTTATCCAGCAAACGGCTTCCTTAATACGGGTGAGACCCGGAATATTCGTCATTCTAGACTTCGCCAGAAGCTGTATCAGCAGGCTTTTGATGATGGGCAGAGAAGGACTGGGACAAGAGCAGTCACCCCAAACTCTACGTTGTGCCCTAAAATATGCATAGTCAAGCATGAAACAGCGGTTGAGTATGATGTCTGCTTCACTGATTGTTGTGCGCAGTCATATATTGTGTATTGGTCCATATATGCCAAACCTAAGCCGAATCAGCAGTATTTATGTCCGCGAAACTATCTCATCGTCTGTAAGCATATAGTGATTGGGTAGCGTCAATTTTCAACAGTTTCCTTGCAATTGCATCGCGTGGAGATACAGCAGGTACAACTATACCAGCTGTCATAATTCGGCGATCTTGTGCTGACCCGCCGTCTTGGTCAAAAGGTCCAAGAAAATAATCTCCGGCTACATGCAGTGGGGCTCTTGGCTGCTACACTGCTTAAAGTAAGAACTTGAGTCGCATATCAATATGTTTCTCTCTCAGTGACGACGCCTCGCCTTCAAATCAGAAAATAACGCCGCGATTAACACCAAGTATATCGAGTAAAAGAGCAAGGGTCAATTGCAATTCCGTTATTTTTTTTTGTTAATGAGGCTCGCGAGTTGTTCCAAATGCTTCGACGAGCTCAGCTTTCATTGTAGAAAAAAAACGTCCCTTGTTCACTTTGCCACTCAGCTTATAGGCATTCCGTTAACTGGCACAATCGCTCCACGTTGTGACTTCCTGTAGGTTTCATTCGTAGCAAGATCATCGTAATTCTGTTGCTGACGCTTGTGCGCGTTTCGAGTCGCAAGTCCTTGTTCTCAGCAAGATATCGTGGGCTAGGTCTTAAACGTTAAGCCACCCACAAGACGTCTCGAACCAAAGACCAGAATGACTCAATTTTCAGCATCCCAGCTTTGTAATCGGGATGCTGTTGAACTCGGTTTCAATGTGACACCCATCACTTATTGATGTACGTGTTGAGTCTACTGACTCCAGCCTGACACCTCGAGGCAATTCATTAATCACTTACTTGTCATATAAGACACATGCATGCGTGTGCAAAGCTTGTACATGGATCATTACTGATCCAATGTGTGTCATACAATCCATCAAGTAGTGCCCAACAGATGAACAAATTCGGGGATCACGCAGAAGCCACAAATTCTATGTAATCTCTGTCGTCGTCGATACCCTGGAAGCTTTAAGTATGACTCTCTTCAACTCGACTTTTATATGACTATATCAAATCAATCTCATTAATTTCCTGCTCTAACATGAAAAGAATGAGATCGTTCAATCTATATCTTTTTCAATTTGTTGTGCATACAAGAGTTAAGTGTTGTACGATCGTGTTAGGCAATTATCATATCAAAGCTCTTCTAACTGAACGTTGCGAAGAGTTACAATGGGACACTTGAGTTTGCTATAGCTAATTAATTTAGACTTTTCCACTGAACAGTAACTAGAATAAACTTATTAAATACAATACTATCAGTAAATATCAAATTATACTTTAAAATGTAAAATATTTATTTTTCTTTTCTAACAAAGCATTCTCGATGGAAGACCGGCGCCCTCGGCGCTTCGGCGCCATGCGGCAGCACACGGCGCGCATGACCGCAACTTCAATATCGCGCGACAGATTGACAAACAATTCTCGATACTCTAATACACTTGAATTTGACACTGTAGCTTTAGAGCAGTCTATCCCACGACAGTACGTAGCAATAATTGCTTATTGCCACGTTTCTTTATCATCATTTGATCTGACATGTAGAATAATTATTGTTCTCACTTTCATACAGTCATCACTATAGTAGTAATTGGGACGACAATCACAATCAATTTGATTTTGGCCAGGAATCACCTCGTCAGCTTGAAGGACCTCATGCGCCTTCTAAATACAAATCTGGTAGACCTAAAGCCAGTGGTCAAACGATTGGAGTACCAGGATCGTCTTTTGCTCGAACGTCGTCTACGTCATCAAGTGTATGCGTCACAGATGGTGTTCTTACGAATGTACCAATACAATATATTGGTCTTGTTGCTATAAAAATGGTAACACTGACGACAATATTATTAATTTGTAGGTATTTGTTCCACCAAAGACTCAAAGTGCATTTCTTAATAGTTTAACAAAGAGAAACGCGATTGTGAACCAGAAATCGGAAAGAACGATGAAAACCATGACACTCTCACCTTCCACATCTTCATTGGAAGTTACGAGTGCACCAGAGCCACTTGTTAAGGTTTCCAGACTATCTGCTGGATCTAGTGGGTGGAAAGACAGGAGAGTGAAGCAAGATGAACCTAAGCCACGGACGCTTTTGACAAGTACAGCTAAGAAAGTGATAAGGAAGGACCGGAATTTGTCGGATTTAGCTGAAAGCCATTATTCCTTACGGGATCGAAGCAAAAGCAGTCTGTTTGAGAATTTGCTGACCTCAATCTCCTCAAATCCTTTTCGCACGAAACTTGGCAAGAGAAAACTCAATAGCGAAGGGTCAGCGGCAAAACCCATTGCGTTGGACTCGGACTCAGAGTCTGAATTACAGTCTGATGACGCTAGGAAAAGTGACAATATTATTGAGAATGATGTGAATGGAAATCAGGTGGAAAAAGACGCGGAAGTACCAGCAATCGATCTGAACGAAATTCTTGTGCATGCCATAGCACGAATTGACGGTTGCGATCTCATGATTGGCCGCTTTCAGTGTATCGTTGATATGGTTGTCGCTCGTGATTGGCTCTGTTTGCTAAATATCCGGGGAAAACATGAACAATGGCCTTTACAAGAATTTTATATTTTGAGCTTGGATCACCTCGAAGATGTGAGGTAAGTTAAGCGGCATAAGTGAAGTTGATAGACAGGGAATGTAATTTGAGTATGATTTATGGCATAGAATCTACACTGTACCGACGGGAATAGAGACTTACACTGGACTGAAGATAACAGAAACTGATCGAATCGATCAATTGTTGAATGAAGCAGCGTATGTAGCAATAAAATTGCCATTCTTCAACGTCCAAGATCAGAAAGCGATGGAGACATTTTACGACCCCACAAGCTCAGGTATGATATTGCCAATACTTTATTTGAGACTATGCCTTACCAAAATGATATGGATCGATGGTAGATACTTTAAAAGGATACATAGTTGTTTGCCCTTTGAATTACACAATGTGCGAAGGTTGGATTCGAATATTAGAAGTTTTTCAGTCCCGAGTATGCGTTAAAATAATGTACGATAGTACTCGAAACTTGCCGTTTCAGCATCTAATGCTTACACATTAAACACAGTGAGAAGGAGCAAGCGAGAGAACATCTTCAGGCGCTAATGGAAAATTCTCTTAGCTATAAGTGTCTTCACCCAACAAATGATACGGAAAAGTGCGTATTGAAATTTTTTATTGCAGGATTATATCAACTCAGAATTCTATTGTAGCCACAGTCCGTCGGAATCCGACGAAAATGAAGCAGACAGGAACATGACAGTGCTGACATACCCTTTGCCTCCTTGTACCTCGGATATTGTCACGATTGTTCGACGTGATGTGGCACGATTAAACCCCAGACGATACCTGAATGACAATATTATAGATTATTATTTTAAGTTCGTACAGCTGAATCAACTATTCGATTCTTCTCAATTATCTCATGACTTTGTGCGATTTTGATGGGTGTAGACGCATGATGCTGACAAGTTATAAGGATAACGAAGTGATTCAAAAGAAGGTGCTTTTCTTAAGCTCGCATTTTTACACGCGACTTCGAGCAGGAAAAGGCTCGACCACTCATGAGCGCATGAAAGCTGGCTATAAAAACGTGTCGACGTGGCTTGCACGCACCGATTTCTTTGATCGCTCAATCATATTTATTCCTATCAACAAGGAGTAAGGACCCTTTGATGAGTTTTGACTCGCTCTCTAACTGTTTTGTATCATGTTCTTTCGTAGCTTGCACTGGAGTCTTGCAGTAATTTTAAATCCTGGTCTTGCACGATCTGATACGAGCACTGAGGTGAGTTCATTGAGAAACATTTTT